TTTTGCTTCTTGTAACCGACCAATAAACCATCGAAACTGTGCCGTGTTCATCGTTATTGTTGTTTCAAACATAAAAGTTGGGAGTATAAAAATCAAATCGTTTCCACAGGTGGCAATCTCATTTCCAGTAACCCTGATGATTACATTCTATTCGCAATGAAAACCAAGTAATTTACCAAATTTATGGATGTTTCTATCAGAAAAGACTTACAGAACTGAGCAGACAAGAGCACCTGAATAAATGCTATTTTGTATGTTCTGTGTCGATCAGTTGAAATGCGAATAGTTTCTTGAAGGTATTGAATTATCATATAATGTTTGATCTTGTTCCGTGTGAAACTTTACTCTAATTGCTATTTTGTACTTATTTTGCAGAAATCAGTGATTTGTTGACTCAGTCCTCCTATAAGCCGCCTTCACCTGACTACCAGAGTTTGGATGTAATGTGGCATCGCATACCACGACCGGACCTGGGTTCCACAAATCATCGAATGGGACGCTATCGAAATCCAGTCACAACACTCACGACCGCTTATGCCATGGGACACGGAAATGCGACCACCTATAATAACGGGGGGCATGACGTTGTTCTACCTCGTCCAGATCGTGGTCTACTATTCAGCCCCGTCACAAACGAGATGTTGTGCACCTCAGACACAGCACACACGTATTACGAGATTACCGGGGCACATCAGACACAATCAGTCCCAAAACAGGCGCATGCAATCTCTCATCGACCGGGTGATATCAATGGAATGGATGTGGGGAACAGAGACGTGCTGGAGGATTGGGCCGGAACTCGAGCGTGTTCCGAGATGGGGCAAAAGTCCTTCACAAGTGCCGCTACATTGGGCAGACCGGCGACAGGTAAGGGCAAACGACGTGCGGCCACAAAAGGAGACAGCATGTACAATCCCAAAGCAGGTGAATTGGCGTTACATTCAAGTAAGAAAAGATCCGTAACCACGTCGGAAACGAATCGTGACCCAGGGAGAGCAGAGATGGGAGACGCGGAGCTTCAAAATACAAAATCAAATCTGGACACAGATATTTCCACCTATGGTACCAAACCTTCTGGGCAATATACGTATCAGGCTTACAGAGAAGGCACTTTTGTGTGAAGCAGTTTTGAGAATTGATAATTCGATGTAAGTGCAATATATGTGTCTATCCATTAACCATCAACCTAATCCCCCCGTCTTGCCCCCACTCTACTGTTGCACCCAATCCTTCTCCAAAATGTAACCCCTCAGCCCCGCCCCAACTCAGAAAAAGCATGTTTCATATTCTGTTCATTACCCCGTGACGTTGATCTTTTTCTTGTCTCTGACTTGTTTCTCTATGGCATGAACCGACAACAAATCACGCGGTAATTCACCTTTTTCCACACATGTACAGATACATTGGCAAAATCCTCAGCTTCTGATTCAGCTAAGACGCTCGAAATCTTGACATTTGTTGAAAAGTAAAGTTGAAAAACAAAGCATTTATTATCGACCATTTGACGTTTTATTTCGGTCCAAGTTTTTAAAAAGGACGAACTTGAAAGAACGGTGGTATTCGCATTGAAGCGGTTTCCATGATGGTTTGACGACCATACTTTCCGTCGAGTCAGTTGATTGCTTTCCTCCCTTATCCGTGATTGCATTTCTAGCGTCAGCAGTTGCAACGACTGAGTGATCCTTGTCGACGTTATTTGATTGCGATCTGCAAATCAATCTCTCATATTGGGAACAGTCATTTGGACATTGAAATTGAGATAAATCGCATGTGATCCAAACAGTCATCTGTCCAAAGTTTCACAGTTTAGTCTTTTGCATAGAACTAATCTGTCACCCACATGCCATCGGACATTGTTGGGGTGGTATAAAATATATGGGGGAACAGACAACACAGATAGAACGCAATGAAACCCCAATCAGTCAGCTTGACAGATAGAAAAAATGAGTCCAGCATCATGATGGTGGACTGGTCCCAATCTTTTATTCACTAAAACTTGTGTAAGTTGTGCACTCCATTTTTGTCCTCTGCACAGGCGGATCTTCATATTACTTCGACTATTTGGTTATTGATAACTCCGTCGATTGACAGTTGACTTCCTGGATAAGTAGAATGAAATTTGTCATATCTTACCGTATCAGGTAACGTCAACAGAGGAGTATTCACCTAACCGACCGCAAGGTCATTGTGTTGAAATTCGTTTGGAGCTATTGGCATTTGGTACCATGATACATTAATTCTGATTTCATCAATGTCACTGTTCAGATTTCAGCCCAAGGTTGCATATAATCGAAGTTTCTATCTAGCATTTGGACCTCCACATCAGATACGAGGGATCATCGACAGTCCCCCAATATCAATGCCTTGCCTAACTGCTAAATACACAATCATGATATAGGCTTCTTAGGACGGAGCGCACAGAATCCGTCCGGCCGCACATCGACGCGCGTCACACCACAAGTGCGTTCGTGACGCCCAAGTCGAATGGATTCCGAATTGGATGACTAAAGCGAATCAGAGAACTGTAGTCCGATCGACCAATCAGAGATCAAGGTCACAACGTGATTGGTGTGTCAGCCCGTCGATTCCCGCACGCTTAATTTGACACATATTTGCTTATTGCTTCGTGATCAATAATATACTTTGACTGTCATTTCTCAGCCGTGTTCTCTCTGCAATTGTCGGGTCTAGTCAAGAGGCGCTTGTATCGATCATATCGTCTTGGCATAAGATATAACAAGGCTCATTTAAGAGGTTGAGAAAGATTAATATTCAACACAGAAGCGTTCACTTCTATCACCGAAGCTGCAAAATGGTATCCCGCGATGTAAATTAGGGAGTATGCTCATGACTACTCACAAATACTGGAACGATTAGGGCAACCCTATTCTTACCTATTATGTTGAAAACCATTATTAATCACAGTCAAAAAACCTGAAATCACAATGGGACATGGAGAACCCACAGAGGGAAGTCAAGCTGTAGTGCTGGATGAAATGCAACTGACGATTCTCAACAAGGTGGAAGCAGTTGAGCAGTACCATTTATCGACGTTTACATACGATTTCATCAAGCAAATTAGCTAGTCTTTTTCCAAGATTTACTAGTTCGAGTCAGAGTCTCCAGAAACATTGGGAAAATAGCGTTCAGATCACCGATACAATTTCCGCCAGTGGTTGATCAAGTGTACATCGTCTGTTGGAAGTAAAGCAACGACATTTGAAAGCCTCACATCTATTGATGGACGGAAAGTCACGAGATTTATTAGTCTGCATATTGCATACTCATGTTTTAACAACTGATCCTTTTCGCTCTCCAACCGGCGAGCAAGTAAGTGACTGTTACACTGAGCTACCGGCTAGGGTTCGTAGTGGCATTGTTGCGGCAAAAATAAAGACAGAATCGGAAACACACACGGTCAGAAAATGTTTGCAAACTTGACAGACGTAAACTGTTATTGTAACAAGAAGGCTAGTTGGCTGGCAAAACGTTTATTGATCAAATTCCAAAAACAACCGTTGTACGCGTTTAATTATATACAATCAGTTCTTAAGCCCGCGGAAGGAAGATTCATGCCTCATCTTGTTGGTTTTGGTCCGCACTTGGCACGTACGTCGCCTTTTCTTCTGCGTGCCGTTCGGACTGGTTTGACTCGATCATAGCGCGAGATACGTTGATCGACAGCTCCGACGTTGTGGTATTCGGTGGCTATCTTTCTGGCTAGATTCGGATTTTCCGTCGGGCTGTAATTATCGATTCGTTCGTTTCGAGTGCTAGTCGACATTGTCTCGTGAAGTACTTCCAGCCACTACGTCTGCGCATCTGGTTGGATGGGCCCTATTCTTGATTTGTTCTCTAGTCGGGGCTCGCTTTGTACCACCTGTCATCACACTCACTCCTCCTTTAAAATGATTGCCGCGAGTGTACCACCGCCCCAATTCTTTACCATTTACCCATGTCCTTTGAGGACCCCTGGTGATCCGAAAACTGGCGTTCTTCCTACCTAGGACAGCGAATGTCCTCATCCACCTATGCTTGAACTTTCCGGCCTCCGGTTCTATTTTTTCGGGTCTGCCTTGATTCTTAACTTTTACTGGCTGTCCCGGTACGAACGGCTGCCACTTTNCTATTCTTGATTTGTTCTCTAGTCGGGGCTCTCTTTGTACTACCTTCCATCACATTATGAATGCAGTATCTCATTGACCGATTTCGAAACGGTTGGAGATTTCAGCTTTAATGCAATTGTTTTACTCATACAGCTACTTATGTAAACACATTGTATCAGATGTAATACGTAGATAAATAAGAAACGGTGATAACAGTTGTGATTTGTTACTTTTCGATTCCTACATAATTCATAGTTGTCGCTTCGTGGCTAATGCTAAGAGAGTGGGCGGTATCTGGTTGTCGTTTTCGGTATGATGAACTGAACGGTTGCTTCTATTCACATTTCCTTTTGGGAGTCGATTATGCTTGCTTGCCTCAAAGCAGGGCAAATACACCCAAAATATTTAGAGATTTCGCGACTGAAAAACAGGAAGAACAAACACCAGTGGGTTTATTTCAACTGAAAATTACCACCCCAAGGTCCCCCTAGCTTGAAAACAGTGCAGTTTGATGTGAACAGCATATGAAAGGAAGGATAAAGGAAATGGCGAATTAGGGATGTTTCACTACAGAAAATAACAACAAAATGGGAATGAATTGAAGCTCCCATAGGGAATCCTTTATGCTGCTTCTGCTGCTGCTGTTGTATCTCCATCCTACGACGGCAGGTGTGGGGTTTGTGATTGTTTCAATCTGGGCGTTGCCTCCAGTACTAAATTAGCAGGCGTTAACATAGTCCTCCTCCAAAATTCAGGCGCCTGAGAATAATATTGGTGTTTAACGTGTGGGGCCAAAAGCAGTTGTCGGCCCATAACGATTGTTTCCCGACTTACTGTTTTTTGCCTGTGTGACTAAACGAGACGTCTTTCAAGTACACTTTCATCAGGAAATTCCCATGGGAAACACATATGAGGGAGCACGACAGTAGCGGGTTGGGGTATTCCTATTGTGTATCGGGGGTATAAAGGGGGAGGGGGNAATCGGTGGTGAGGGTGATCTATCCAAAACGCCCCGGTTCAATGACTCAAACTCAAATAAACTGGCCTTAGTGGAGTTAACAACGGGGTAAAATATAAAATCTACAGAAGAAATAAACACTACTTCAGTGTGCCAACGACTGAGAGGAAGAGAGAGGGAGAGTAAAACAACGCGATTCCATTTGTCCCCAACTAATAGCACACCATACCACAACACTGTGTTTATTATTCATTACAATGAACTGTTTCGTGAAAGTGAAAGCAAATACTGCATTTCATCCCCTGCTAGTTGTAAATGGTCAGTAAAATAGACTTGGTTCTAATATTGTTCTGGTTTATTTCGTTGCCTGTGTTAATACTAATTTTTTTTAGGAACACTTTGATTGCAAAACAGGGCTCCTTTTTCCACAAGTTCCCAGGAAGCCTGGAAGATTGGATCATTACATCTGATCCAAAGGTAAGTTCATACCCTAATGCCAAAACCAGAAACGCTAAAACTAACGAGTACAACTCTTTGGGAAAAGAATTATGCAAAGGTTTCTGCAAATGCGCTTTCGATTTTTGACAATGCTGTTTGCTTTGTAGGCAGATTACAGCTGTCCAATAGGCTATCTTGCCCATGGGTATACACGCATTAAAATATGGTTGAGAAAAATTGGTAATATAATGCCCGTCTGGAGTTACGTAAAAGGATTGGTACCATGCGAACGAGCAGAGGGGGGCTGGATGGAGGGAGATAGAAGGGATACGTGACCGCGTTTGATAGGTGCGGAAGATAATAAACCTACGGTCATCAAACACGTAAATAATCGGTTTTAGACAATGACTCAGTCCATGGGAAAGTGTGAGAAGGAACGTGACATAGCAATACAATCGGTTATAGTCACTGACCGTACGTGCGTGTGTGTATACAAATAAGACTTGAAGTTCGTTTCTCCCATGCATGCGAGTTAGGTTGAAGAACGAATGTGCGTGCGGCTGATTGGGGAAAACGTACAAATGTGATTTGCTCCAGTTAGGCAGCGTATTCAATTCAG